ATATATATATATATGACATCGCTAGCCGAAAATAAACTAAGACTTACGATTGAAAGAGTCAAAATAGGGACAATCGTCCAAATAATCTTATAGACTTCTTTTTATAATATCAATCCCGTAAAAGAATTGATAGTATCAACTTCTCCTAAAAAAAAAGTGAACGTAATTCAGCTCGAATAAAGTGAAAGGAATAATAGACTTACCGTGCTCAAATGAATCATGCTACATTTAATTCAAGGAATACTACGAAATAATCATCTTAATGACGTCTTAATCTTGAAATTTTAAATAAAATGAGTAAAATATAAAAATGATGATAGTTCTATCATATAAGCAACCTGTAAATTAGCTTAAAAAGAAATACGAATCATTTGACTAGTTGTTGATTTTTCTTTTTTTGTAGCCTGATTTTTTTATTCTAAGTCAAACTTAGCTTCCTTTTTTATAATATTTTGACCGCTTAGCTTGTCAACGACTTCAATCCTATTTGCTTCAATAATATCAAAATTAGCCTCTGTAAAAGTGGACTAGTTGTGCCGGGCTTGCCTCCTCAATCAGAGTTCGTCACGTCGGACTTGTCTAGTGCAGTTTACATATCCTATGTAGTTTGTGAGTTGTTGCACAATGAGCAGGTTATTCAGTGCACAGTAACGGCGGCGAGTTTCCTTAGAAATGTTTCAACAAACAAAAAAAAAAGTGAACTAATTCGGCATAACATTGAGATTTGGAAGAAAAAAAGTGTAGCAACCTTTAAAGCATATTTCAATAACGTTATTCAATAAGAAAGCTATAGTAGAATAGTTTCCATGTTCTTTTTACTTCATATAATTTTTACACACATTTTTTTGTTTCCCACTACATTCTTAGAAAGGACAACTCTTATAAACAATACCATCAAGGGTTGGGTGGAGTGGTAAGTATTCCTTCATCCTTAACTAGAGGTCTCGGGATCGAGCCCTAGGTATGGAGTCGCCTTTATTAGGGTGCTTTATCCCCAAATGTGGGACTTCCGGCGCGAATCCGAATTTAATCGGGCTCCAATGTGGGTACCAGACATCGGGTAGGAAACTAAAAATAAAAAAGACAACTCTATAAACAAAATTATTTTAAAGGAGTCCTCTCTCAAATGGTGGCCTTACTAAGAGGAGAAATTAAAGAGAACAAGTTGATTCACAACCCTACTATATTTGAAGAATGACTTCGTCCATATTTGACTTTTATTCAAGAAAAAGAAAATAGGGGATAAAAATACATTAGATATTTAAAAAAATATTAGATTTATACTTGCACCTAGCTATTCCGTATCTCACATGATAAATTCAATGTGTTGGTCAAAGCTCAAAGGGAAAAATAATAGTTGTCTTTGAATTCAATTAAATTTTATTTTCAAAAATTTATTTTTGTGGAGCTTTCAATCATTTTCAGCAGCCGTTAGCATCGGCTGCTCAAGAAATTTGACTAATTGCTTCTTCAATCTAAAATAGATTCTTGTTCGGATGATTGTTACCTATTGTATTGTATCGTATTGTTGCTTTAAATACGATATTTGTTTTGATTGTTACTTAACAGCTTGTTTGGAAGGTTGTTCCTCGTTGTATCGTATTGTATTATTATCCCAAAATAATGTTTGTTTTGATTGTTTCATTAAAATTGGTGGTATAGTATTGTTAAATTCATTGTTCCGGAACAATAAAAAGTCCCCTTTTTTGAAACAACCGATTTGGTGTGGTGGGATTGTTTCCTATTTTTCTTTCCAATTATGCCCTAACTTATTACTCCACAATTCTATTTTACCCTTTATCTTTTTTCTATTTTAACTCCAAATCTCCACTTATAACCTACTTTGTTTTTTTCCAGACCAATGTTAAAGGTGTTTTGCTGCCTTCTGTCTTATTTTTTCTCCTAATTTGCTTGTAACTCACTTCTAATTAGTTGTGCTCCTTTGTTTTGCCTTCTTCTATCTCGCTCCTTTGTTCTGCCTTCTTATTATGTTTTGCCTTCTTCTGTTTTGTTTTTAAAAATTATTTTTATGCATAATTTTTGATAAATTTAATATTTAAACAATTGAGGGTATTTTAGTAAACTTATCAGTTACAATACAGCAGTCAAATAAAATGACAAAATATTATTTAACAATAACAAACCATACAATCTATCCAAACATTGTAATCATAAAACGATACGGTACAATACGATATAATACAATACAATACATTATCAAACGACGGGGAACAATGATCCAAACAGAGTGTAAATTTTATTGTATCGTATCGCTAAATCCATCGTTACGTAACGACGAAATGTACCACTTTCTGTAACGACCGATTTGGTATGGTCGCGTCGTTACTTTATCTTTTTCTCTCATGTCACCCTTCATTATTATGTAATAATTTTATTTTATCATTTACCTTACCTTTTTATATAATAATTCTACCCTGTATCATAATTTTTCTTTATAATATTGTAAGTTTATTCTTTATATTACTTTTGCGTAATATCATGAAATAACGGCAAACGATACAATCTATCCAAATATTGTATTCATCAAACGACACAACACAACACAATACAATACAATACAATACGATACGATACAACGGCAAACGCTAAATCTTTCCAAATATTGTATTCATCAAACGATTATACAATACAATACGATACGATACATTATGAAGCGATACGTAACAACCATCAAAACAAGAGAACAAAGTCTCATTAATTAATAAAAAGAGTTGCAACAAAATTAAAAGTTACCATTCTTCTAAAGTGGAGTGCATGCACTTGGAAATGATTGGTCTTTTTTTATATTTTATTTTAAAGCAACTTTCCAAAATGGCATGCTACGTTCTTTTGTAGCATTGAATGATTAAATGTCAAATTAATTAGAGTTACAAAAGAAGATTTAACTGCACGCATGTACTACAAATTTCCTCACTTTAAATAAAAGAATAATAGCTTTTTAACTTCAAGAGAAAGATTTTAACTTTTTGGTCAAAGACAAACTTTATTTTTTCAACCTTAAAAGTTTGCAAATGTTGAAAAAACTTACACCCTTTGGTCCATAATAAGTGTTCAATTTACTTTTTAATTTTGGTCCAAATAAGTGTCTAGTTAGGTAATCAAAAAAAAATTCAATTTGTTTTTACTCTTTTACCCTTATGTGCATATCCCTAAAAAAACTTCTCTCTCATCACATTAACTTACTAAATAAGGGTAGTTTAGTCATACTAGGTAATTTTATATAGGATTTAGTATTTTCTTAATGGGCGTGCTAAAAGTAAATTGACACTTATTGTAGACCGGAGGGAGTACTCCATATGAACTTTTCAACTACTTTGACTTGTCTCCTTAGGGCTCGTTTGATACGAGGGATAAGGAATAATTAATGTCGAGATTAAATTTGAAAAAAAGGTTATCCTATGTTTGGTTGGAAGAAAATTACGGTATAATTAATTCCGTGATTAATTATCTCGGGGTTATAGTATTTTCTTATCCACATGAAATGGTGGAATAACTAATCCTGGGATAATTAATCCCAAGATAACATCTTTCCATCCAAACGACCCCTTAGTTTGTGGGTTTTAGCGTTATTTCATTGGTTAAACTTTTAATTTGTTACCAGCAAAGGTTGTATTGGAGTGGTAAGTACTCTTTCATTCTTAACCAGATGTCTCTGGTTCGAGCCTTGGGTATGGAGTTGTCTTTGTTAGAGAGCGCTTTACTCCCCCAATATGAGACTTTCCGGCACGAATCCGAATTTAGTCGGGCCCTATACAGATATTGGACACCAGATGAAAAAC